GTTGCAGCCACATTGGACGGGAATCACCAAATCTTTCCCCTCGCAGTTGGCATTGGTGATGTAGAGCGTCGTGAGACTTGGAGTTGGTTTTTGACTCAATTGAAAAGGGCGTATGGTTGTCCTGATAAACTCCTCATCGTATCGAATAGACATGAGTCTATCATATATTCAGTCCCAATAGTGTTTTCCGAGGCGCATCACTCATTTTGCTGTTATCACATCACAAAACAAATGAGGCCTTTTGGGAAATCTGTCTTGGACATATTTTACAAGGCGGCATATTGTTATCGGCGTGAAAACTTCTATCGTTACTTGTCGTCCATCCGAAGCCTAAAACCCGAAGCATTTAAAAAAGTAACTAATGAAATTCCGGTAAATACTTGGGCGAGGTGTTTTACACCTGTACGGCGCTATGGATTCATGACATCCAATTCATGCGAAAGTTTGAACAACAAACTCCGTTGGGCCAGGATGTTACCCGTTTGCTCGTTATTGGAGTGTGTTCGAGCAACGATAGAGAAATGGTTTGCTGTTCGGCGTGCATCCGCCGAGGGTCGCAATCATCCGCTAATGCAGTGGACTCAATTGCGGTTGGATCCTTTGTTCGAGAAAGGTCGTACTCTGTCCATTACCACACTCGGCATGCAACGTTATAGGTTTATGGAAGAAACACGATCCTACGTGGTTGATTTAGAGGCAAGAACATGTGATTGTCGTGTGTTTGAAACAGATCTACTACCTTGCTTACATGCATCTACGGCTATTCGGTAATGTTCACCAAACAACATTATCGCTTTAAAAAAAAAATTATAATTGTTATATTCTAATATGATGTGTATTTATGATATGTAACAGGGAAGCCGGGTTAGATATAATGGATTTCGTTAATGACCATTACAAAACCTACTCAGTTGCAAGGATGTACCAAAGCACCGTTAGCCCCATCCCGCATCCAGATGAATGGCACTTGCCCCCGGAAATTAGGCGTAAAAAGGTAATTCCGCCAAATGATCCCAAACAAGCAGGTCGGCCACGGACTCAACGTGATTCCGCTGGAGAAGGATCATCACGTCGAGTACGGCGTCAGCAGATGTGCTCACGGTGCGGGGTCACCGGGCATAACAGGGCGAAGTGCCCTCTATACGATGGTGATAATGACTTTTTTTCAAATGAAGAAGGTCAAAACGCGCCAACTCCTCATACAAGACGCCCGAGGAGATGTCGTACATGTAAAAAAACAGGTCA